AGGAAAAACGAGCTTGTTTACTGTGTTGTTCCACGAAATTGGACATACGTTGGGTTTGGCGCACAGTAACGATCGCAATGCCATTATGTACCCTTGGTATAGCTTAAATTCTAAGACATTGTCATACGACGATGTTGCAGGTCTTCAACGTTTATATGGTAAAAAAACCACAACCACCGTCCGCGTAACAACTCCGACCACAACAACATCAACTACCACTACTACCACAACTACGAAACCTCCGATAGGGAAAAACGAAACAAAAGTACCAGATTTGTGTCACGTAAATCCATCCATATTTTTGGTTACGTCTAACCATCATATGTATCTATTTTACGACAAATGGGTTTGGATAATAAGATTAGGTGATAAAGTCTACATGGAACCTAAAATGATATCAGATTATGTCCCTATTTACGCTCCTATTTCGCATATCTACCAGAGACCCAACGGACAACTTTTGGTAGTCACCGGTGATTCGTTTTATTTACTTCACTTCCCGAGTTTCACGGTAGTGGGCGACCGACAAAGCGTCCAGCGACTGGGTGTGCCTGCGGGTAAAACAGTGAACGCTATTTTTAATACGTATGGCGGTCGAACGTATATATTTTACGGTAAACGCTACTATGCAGAAATAGACGAGTGTTCTTTGAGTGCGAGTGAACACGGTTTTACTACGGAACTGTTTCCGGGTCTGCCCGACGATTTGTCGGGCGCGTTTCGATACACCAACGGACATTTGTATTTTTTCAAAGAGAAAACGTATTACGAATACAACGAATTTTTGAATAAATTAACGAGAGTCGGTGAAATAGACTTGAGTCTTGTCGCAATTAATTGTCCCACAGAGAGTGTCTTTAAACAAATTAGGGATTTGTTAAGAAAGTTATCGATCTTTCACAACAATGAATAAGAAGTTAGTTTTCTTCGACGATTTTAGAAGCTTGGATACCGAACAACTTGAATTGATTCCTGTGCAACATTTCTTGGAGCATGTGAGACCGCACGATTTGTTAAATATGTGGCATAAGTTACCAGTACGACATCGCAACAATTTTGAATTGCAAACTCATTTGCCCTGCTTTGTTCACTATAACAGACCGGACAGCAAAATGCATATCGACGGCCCGGCACCTCCCCAGAATAAATGTCATTATTGTTTGAGTGTTATAAAAGCAGTTACCGAGATCTAGGATAGATTCATTCGGGCTAGAAACATGGTTTTGTTAAGTGCTCACTTTGTTTTGTTGTCGGCTGTGGTACAAAACGTTTTCTATATACATAAACCTAAGGATGTGATTGAAGCGTTCGTTTGTTTCAAAAATCATAATAATCGGTGCATTTGGCCCGATACGTGGACGCGTATGCAACTCGCTCAGGTCAACGGAATCGACAAGCTACAAACTTTTAGCGAGACATTGTCGAATAACACTACCGCAGATAAGCCGTATTTAAATTACAAGGTACGTTTCGTTTTCGCGAACCGGAGCTACGAAGACCACGGCGAATGGCAAACGATCGCTATCAAGAATTCCAATAACACCAGCGGCGGCGTTAACGACATTTGCGGTAACGAATACAACATCTCGGCAGGTCGAAAAACTATTTTAATCCCGCTATATGTAACTACGTGCGCTTGTTTGCTTCTTTTGACAAAATGCTTATTCAAATTGACTAAATGTAAATATCTCTCTTAATTACACCGATAGTGGGGGGTTGTTGATATATAAGTACATTTGAATTTGATACCGAAGTCAGTCTGTTTGTCACAATGTGTAACAAAGTGGTCACTATCGATGAAAACACGATTTTCGAAATAAAGAATTCAGGTGTCCGTTTCATCTTCAAGAACAAGCACATAGATTTTCAAGTCCAGGATTTTTGGGATTTTTTGTTCTTTCTGGAGGACGAGGTGGGAGAAATCATGTTCTGGAACGACATAACAGTCTACATCGGGAGCAGTATCGAGGTGACCTATTCGAACGAAGAAGAGAGCTGTGAGTTGATACTGAAACAGGATCATGGCGACGAAATTATCCTCGACCGCGATGAAGTAGAAAATCTCATGGACCAGAAACACCGCTTGTACGAAGCATTACGTTGTCTACATATGAGCTAATAAATATTTACTATTGTATCTATAGTTTTTCTTTTATTAAACCGTGATTATTGAGACACTCTGTATAAGTCACTCGACTTGTTTACCGACGACCCGATCCACCGCGTCACCGCGCCACACCGTCTCCGCGCCGCACCGTCACCGCCCTCTACCGGGGGGGCCTACGACGGTCGGAGCGCGCGACATCTAGCAGCGACGGGCGGAACCGGGGCAAAACAGGACGCTACACAAGCTGGCGACATCTAGCAGCGACGGGCGGAACCGGGGCAAAACAGGACACTACACAAGCTGGGTGGGGGGCGGAGCGCACTCTGGTAGACAGGGGGGACACGCGCGGGGGGCCCCCGCTGCGGGGGGGTTAGGAAATTGAGGTTATGTACGGTTTCTGTTGCTTATATCGGCACTATACATCTACTCATGAAAATTAGTATAGTTAGTTTTTATGTAGTCCTGAATAAGAATTCGTTGACACTTAAAGAAATCTCTAATAGCCCTTCTCGATATTTGACACCAAAAATTAGTCCCAGTTAGCCATGACTTTAGGTTGATGTAAAAAAAAAACATAATGTTTTAGTACGTTTTTGAGAGATCCATCCAACAAAAAAAAGTTGTCAGAATCACACTGTAATCGAAGATTTTACATCAATGTACAGTCTTAAGTGTTGCGATATTTCAAATCCCCTGTATTGAAACATTATAGAAATTGGTATAGTTGGGTTCTAAGTATTCCTTAATGAGAATTCGTTGCCAATTTATTTATTTTTTTAATATCTAATAGTACTTCTCTCTTCTCTCTCTTTTGTTAAATAGTCCCAATTGGCCATGACTTTAAGTTGAATTAATAAGCAAAACAAGGTTTTTGTGCACATTTATTAATTGAGGCACACTGTAATTGATGTTGATTTTTTTTTTAAAGAAAAGGACCTACTTTAGGGGTCTGTGTTGATATTTTATAAATATAATAAACAAATAAGTAGAAAAATCGTTTATAAATTTTTTTTTCAAATAAAAATACAACAATTTTACAATTTTATCGCATCTGGCATTTTATCGTAATTTGATCCTATTTGGTATTTTGCATGCTGTTAAATGTTTCAGAAAGTTGTATATTTCCACATAATTTTCTGTTACTGAGTATACTACTATTTATTTTCTTTGGATAATGTTTTATTAACTATTTGTATGGACGTAATATAAGCCATACATACGACATATACCTCTATTTATAGAGAGAGCGACCCGAAATATAATGGATGTTTTTTTTCGATGTATAGAACTTTAAGTTGGCATTACTGTTCAAGATGGCGACCGATTTAACAGCTGTCAAGTGATTTATTCTCAGTTTGGTTTGCAAATTCATCATGAATAGACTCACGCTTAAACAACGCTTGCAAATAGTGCAATTTTATTTCGAATATAATGGTTCTGTGCGGAATACGTATCGCGCACTACGTCCATTTTATCGTCGACGAAATCAGAGCAGTTAATTCGATTAACTATGGAACGTTTTCGCACCACGTTTACTCTTATTGATAACGCGCATCCCCAGAGACGCCGTACGGTGCGTACAGAAGAATCTATTGCTGCTGTAGAGCGTAGCATTGAGGAAGACCCGAATGAGTCCATCCGCCATCTAGCACAGGAATTGGATCTGTGTCCATCCACTCTACGAAAAATTTTGCTGAAGGATCTTGGTTTACGTGCTTACAAAATCCAACTCGTGCAAGAATTGAAGCCAAACGATCATCAAGTAAGGCGTACATTCGTCGAATGGGCCCAAAACGAGATTGCGGTTGTTCCCGATTTTCATAAGCGAATTTTGCTTAGCAATGAAGAGCACTTCTGGTTGAATGGCTACGTCAACAAACAAAACTGCCGCATTTGGAGTGAAGCTATTCCTCGAGTGTATGTCGAAACACCGTTATATCCAGAAAAACTGACTTTTTGGTGCGCTTTATGGGGTGGTGGAATCATTTGTCCGTACTTCCTCAAAAACGATGATGGCCAGAACGTTACAGTCAATGGTGATCGGTATAGCGCTATGATTACTAACTTTTTCATTCCTGAATTGAATAACCATGATGTCCAGGAGATGTAGTTTCAACAAGACGGCGCAACATGTCGCACAGCTCGTGCCACAATCGATTTATTGAGAGATACGTTTGGTGACCGCCTAATTTCACGTTTTGGACCTGTGAATTGGCCTCCAAAATCTTGTGATTTAACACCGCTAGACTACTTTCTGTGGTCTATGCGGATAAGCCACAAACGCTTGACCATTTGGAAGACAACATTCGCCGTGTTATTGCCGATATACGGCCACAAATGTTGGAAAAAGTCATCGAAAATTGGACGTCCAGATTGGACTACATCCGCCCCAGCCGTGGCGGTCATATGCCAGAAATCATATTTAAAATGTAATGCCACAAGATTATTTTTCGTATAAATGAAATTCATGTCAATGGAATAATCCATCCTTGTTTCATTGCAACTTAAAGTTCTATACATCGAAAAAAAACACCCCTTATAATACAGGGTGATTGGCGTAGAAATCAGTGGATATATTTTGTCTTGCACAGGTCACTTTCGACATAAAATTAGAAATGTATGATAAACGGTTAGGCTTAGGTATAGGATATTGTTTATGAAATCTGTTTAGAAAGTTCCGAGGAATTGAATAATTTTCTTAGTTGCAAACACCCTGTTATATTACAATATGATATTTTAAAAGTATGAGTGATTCCAAACAACTTTTTGTTTTTACTATTATATTTATATTATTGTAAGATTAAGCTTTGTACATACACGTTTACAACATACATATTCACAACTGATCAACAGTGTAATAATTAAATATAATAATCAATGAATATTTGCTTACCGGTAGATATCTTTAGGCCAGTGTATTAACGAGATCTGCAACAAAAAAAATTGTCAGGGTACTAATAAATGATAATTCGGCGAAATAACGTTCGGCACACAGGTAATGGCGATTTTTTAAAAAAAGGTCATTTTCTTCACAAAAGTGTTAAACATTTTCAAAGATCTCCACGAAATGGTGGAGGCCTAGTAAGTTCTCAAGTGATGTTGTTCCACGCTACCAAAATTTTTACATAAATGTCGCATTTTTAGAGCGACTACTACATCTTCGTTCTTGCTGACACGTGGAGTTTGGTAACTTTATTTATTCTTTGCCAATAAAATAACGTAACTGAAATATCGCCTCCGCCGACAATGATAAATTGCCCTCGACCGAAGAGCTTTCGCGCATTTATGCAACAGCTAAATAAAAATGTTCCCATGGAGACGGATTGGGGCCGTATTTACAACAAAGTGCATTTAAGATAGTGTTTAATTAGTAACATAAGAAATTGGGAAGGTTATTTTTCAAAGACTATTTAAGATATGAAAGGAGTGTATAATTTTTTTTAATTATTTTTTTCAATTTCAATAAATTTTTTAATTTTTTTGGATTTATCAAAACTAAACAGCAACCATTCGAAACAACCAATAATTCTTGTAGTAAGACAGATAAATTGAATTACAAAACCTAAACCTACTTACATTGATATATTTATAAAATATATATGCCAAATGTTTCAGCGCACTTATTTTTCTGCATTCTGTAATATTACAGGTGATACTATACAGCAAAGCATCACATCCAGATGAGCAATATATTACATTAAACAAAAATTTCTCGAATATAGTTGAAGGTAGAGTTCAATTGGGTCTATTGACAAGTATCTCAAAGTCCCCCTATACACAGACAAAATCTTGAGCTTAACTTCTTTTAGTTTCTTCTGTTAAATCTTAAAATCAACTAAAATCTTTTGGGTTTGTAGTTTCATTTAGGTTGTAGTTCATTTTCACTTTTCTAAATGATGACTTCAGGAGCTTTGTTCGCTCTTATAGAACGCAGCGCCTCTACAGACAGCATCTGTAATCACGTTCCGATTTCCGCATACCGCAATGTGGCTGAAGTTAGATTTGGATCCTGATTTTATTATACAGTTTATTACAGTGCACCAGTTCGCTATTTAGCTTAATTAAGAAAACGTATTCCTGTGGACATGTCGGAAAAGCAAGTAGGGAAATATTGCAAGGGAACTTCCAAAAATCATATCCAATGTTGTTATACAGAAAATAACACCTTTTCCCTTTGCATTACCCCAAAAAATAAATTAATTTAATTACTATTTCACAATCTCGAAAAAATTTAATGTTGGCCCAGAGATTCAACCAGACCATTGAAAAGCCACTTAGGAGAGCTTCACCTAGAAAACGTCTGCAAAAGTTAGTTATATTTATTTAGCAATCTCAAAAAAAATCTGACGTCCCAGATATTCAAATAGACCATTAAAGAGCCACTTAGGAGAACTTAAAAAAGATGTATTACTCAACCACCATAAACCATAAAACTACTCCCAATAATGAGATACCCTAAAATTCGCCATTATCAAAGTAGAGATTTGCTTTTTGACTCGAAATTTACCCCCAAAGGCATCCATCGATCATGCATGCTCGCGATATTCAGGAGACTTTCTTAATTTTATTTGTACTTTTCATTTATATATTTATTTAGCCGCACTTAAAATTTTTTCTGGGTCGACAGGGAACTAAATTCTGTACTTCATGACGTTTAGAGAAACAGGGTATCCCATTTAAAGAAAAAACAATTTGAATCGTTTCTGGATTAGGAGCAATAGTTATCATGTACTTTTTTTTTAATTCGGAATAAATAAAACGAATATTATCTGTTGATGATGCTAAATTAGAGAAGCGCTCTCCCAGAACGTAGTATTAGTTCTAGTATCATTCAATAACAACATTTTCCATAGTGATGCCAGAAGTTCATTCCACATAATCACAATCTTCTACATCAGACTTTCGTTAATAGTGTCACGAACGACTCGTTATTTTGTTGCAGAAACATTCGCAGAAGATTACAAAATCGTATGTAAATTGAGTTAAAAGGAGATTTTGTTCGGGATGTTGATAAATTACATTTCCAGATAGTTAATTTTGAATGGAGTGCATCAATCATGGTAATAGAGGTACATTTCTCAGATTAAAATGAGCTGGTTACTTGATCCAATTAGGTATGCCGTGAGTGTTTCCGAGGACACGTAATTTAATTAAATATTAATTAATTAATTTGGAACGAAAAGCCGTTTACCAGTAGAAGCAAATTGATTCATTTACTAATGTAAGTCCGCGTGCCAAATTTAAAATATTCAAAATTCCCATTAATTAACGGAGATTTATTATTTCAGCGAAAACTTGAGGGCTGCGTTGTTAAAGTTATTTAACTAGGTTTTTGCGGAAAACCTCTCGCTTGGCTCTAATTATATGATGAATTCGCTGCCGGATAATAAAGTTGTTAGGAGGACAATGCAATTTATCATTTTGCGAGAGGTGCTGCGGAGAGTAGCGGAGTCGGGGGTGTCCTTTCCGTTCCTGTTGTTGCCGGGTTTCAGTTTCGATGTTAACTTAACTAAGACTAATTAAGTATCGCGATGATTTCGAGTTCATCAAAGCAAATCCGTGGCTAAAAGTTTGGCTCGAGCTTTTCTGTCAGAATATATATATATATATATATATATATATATATATATATATATATATATATATATATATATATATATATATATATATATATATATATATATATATATATATATATATATATATATATATATATATATATATATATATATGGGCTGAATGCCCATAATTATCGCTGATTTTTGCCAATATTGCTGGAAGTACTATATTTAGTTAGGAATAGAATGTTGTTCATGCATGTCGGCGCGCCTGCTCACTTTTTTGTTGCAGTAAGAAAATATTAAAATAACATATTTAATAACCGATGGGTAGGTAGCGGCGGACCTCAACCATGGAACCCTAAGTGCCCAGATTTAAATAGTTTGGACCTTTTCTTATGGGGGCTTAATAGAAGTCTGGATTATCGCACCCCAATTAACACTGTATAAGAGGTGGAGGTATACTTCTACTTCTTTTCAAAAAGGTTGTTATTAATTTATTAACAGACAATTTTGTTGAAAATGATTAATAGTGTTTTATTTTTAAATAAGAATCGTTTATTTTGTTAGGATGTTATGTTATTGCATTAATACTGTAAAAGTAAAAATAACAGTTTTCTAATTTCTTTTCTGAAGGACACTAGTTGGTAACTAAAAATTAGATATTTTGCTTTTGATAAATATTTTATTTTTCACAAAAAAAGTTCTCGATTTACAAGTACAGTGGCGACCTAATTAACCAAAACATTGTGTTTTCACTAAACAATGTCTGCCAAAATAGACAGTTGCCGTAAGCCAGCCACTGGCGTATTTTAAAAAAATTGATTGATATATAGTACATGTGTGCCAAATTTCATTAAAATATAGTGGGATTACAGATATAAAAAAAAATATATTTTATTTTTGAAAACTTTACCACCCTGTATCTCAAAGGTTAAGACGTCTGGTAGTTTTCTTTTTTAAATGGACCCAAAAATCGCCATCCGAATTCATTGGTTACCATCTGTAGATGAGTGGCGAACGTAAATCAGAATTTTTTAGGTTAGGAATCAGATACTTCTTTGATAGTTAGTTACTGGTCATATATACATCTCACGCGCTTCTCCGGGGTGTGGGGAATGCATCCCTGGCATCCCTACTACTGTCAAGATTCATTAATGTTTATGGCAGTTTGATTCAGCGAGCGCCGCTAAGAACCTAAAGTAACTTTCCGAGTGTCACTTACCATTTATCCCATTTCCTTGGAATTGCCTCTAAATTACAAACAATCGCCTAGCCGACAAGAAAAGATATCCCGGTTCGGTTTTAATATTCCTTATTAAAAGTGGAACGACTCGGAAAATTTCTCGATAGTCCGGGTTGCAACGTAAGCCGAATTAATGGCTCTAAATTTTCTTTCTCTCCTCATTTCGGTCGTAACGGCGTCTTGCGAACGCTCGTAAATGTAATTTAAAATGATTGAATTCGGTTAAGATTTTTCATTCACACGTGTCATTTGTCAAGGTGTTGTATGCATACGAAATGTGATTTGTATCACGGTAATATTACATACGGAGTGTTTTAATAGGTAACCGATATATATTTCACAGTACAACTACTCAATTACTCATTACCCATTTATACTCCGCTTCGCAAATGCTCTTGAATGGTCGACCAAAGTTTTTTAAGCGCATGTTTCAGCTCTTCAATTGTCTGATGAGGATCTGCTTCCACTTCCGCCTTTAAGAAGTCATTATCGAAACTTGCTGGTCGTCCAGATTTATGTGAGTCGGAAAGATCAAAATTACCGAACCAAACCATCTTTGGCATCTGCGAACATCTAACGCATTTGGGTAAACATCACAATTGCTTTTTATAGAAGTTGTTCCATTATTGCCCACCCAGAACTGAAATAGCATACAATGCCGTGTATGCAACTCGTCGTATATTTTGCTTGGCATTTCTATGAAAATTGTTTAAAGTAATTTTTTTAATCATCACAAGGCAATAAGTCACTGTTGACGATGTTCTAAAGTGTACGGTTATACAAAAACTGATGATCAAATATTCGTATGCCCAAAAACGACATGACTTTCCGGGCATTATTTTATATTTTTTTAAATGTAGTATATATTTTAATTTTAATCAAAATACATTTTTGGTACAAACTAATTTTTACTAGTGAATATTTTTGAAAAAAATGGTGGACCACTGATTTCTATAAAAACATACATTATTTTCGAAATTATCTTTCAATTTGGAGTAAATGTGGTGTCACGCTGGTTTTCACATAACAAAAATAACAAAAACCGTTTTCATGAAAGACGAAAAAAATCTGATTCGTTTTTACGTAAAATTCATTTTTAATTATTTTTAATGAAGAAAGGAAAGGAATTTAAATAGGAAATAATTATTAATACGTAAGCCATTAAACAAAAAATACACTCATTAGCTCAGAAACGAAAGAAATTTTCCAAGAATTTTTCATAAAAAGAGATTAACTATGAGCTGTAAAACCTGGTCCTATATGAAGGAGCGAACTGTGGAAATATGCGGACATTACTGGCTCGGATTCATGGGAAATGTAGCGGACCTGGTAAAGTGACGCTTCCCGCACACTAGATCGTGTATAATTAGAAATTTTACAGAAGGGACTAGAAAAATTTATACAATAAGAAATATCATACTTCATATAATATCATATAATGAAATGGAGAGGAAGGAACAATCTGGTTAAAACGTGTTTGAACGAGACAAGGAGTTATTTGATTCCTTCTCATATCCCTTATATTAATCCTAAACAACAGTTTTGTCATTACTGGACACGGTACGGATCTGAAGCGTCAAGAGAGAGAAAATATACGCAAAACTGTGTTAAAATTGAGCTTCTGTTTTCTGCGTTCCTTAAATATTTTGCAAAGGCTAAACATGTTTGCATATCTCTATACAATACATTCACAAATTTCTCGTGAAAATCTTCTATGTGTTTTTTTATTGGTGGTCCATCGCAAACCGACCAAGGTCGCGTCTATAACTAGACCATTTGTTTGAAATCGTATTAATATGCAAGCCGGTATCTAACAAGTAGCTTCGAGCAATCTAAAACGCAGGTAAAACTCGCGCGAAGCGGCGTTATTAAAACTTCAAACGACGTGGAATTTTTCCGGAAATTACGTCGAAAAGGTTTAGAGAGAGCTCTGAAAAAGCTCGAGTGGCGGCTCTGTTACGGCACATCAAAGTCATAATTTAGCACGTGAAGTGATTAAAAACAAGTCCCAAAGGCCGCCCTGACGTTTCCACTCATTTACCATGCAACTATATAATTACAAAAACTTTGAGGATTTTCTCGGAGAGACTTTTTCGGAAAGGGTCGCTAAAAGGCGAAATTAGGTGTCGTTCTTCGAATCAAGCGCGGGCGTCTGGCGAATTTAAACGCGAAATTTTTGCCCTGTTTTATTTTTGAAAGGTACAAATGCCTCCTGATTGACTTGATTAGGTATTGGGTTTTAAATGGCTTGGGAGGCAGTTGTCTCTGCGTTGGGAGAGTTTAACTGCATTCGAGGGTTCTAATGGCACAATCCTCTACGCCTCAGGACCACAAGTGCACCCTCAATCTCAGTCGCGCGAAACTACAAACGCCGGCCTCTGCTCTCTAAGAAGGCACCTTCATATCATGGAGGTGGACGACGACAGCACATGTTCGTTCACTGTGTAGATGAGGTTACTCCAATTCGTCTCTTAACCAGCTGCGCACAGTATACATTAATATTCCAACGTGCCGAGCCAATCAGAACACGGCGGCTAGTTTTGACTATGGCGCCAAATTCAAACCGAATGGGAGGTGTTTAAAGTTGGCATCCGCATAGCCCTCTTTACTTTCTTGACAGATTGGAGAACGCATGTCGCATAAGTATGATCGCTTAGATTATTTGTTGTTAATCATTTACCAAGTAAACTTTGGTTAATGTGTTAATTCTATTTAAATTTTATAAAATAAAATTGCTAATGTGTTTATACTGCTTTTATTTGTATTTTGAGGGTAAATTGACTTATAAAATATGACAATAAAATTTATTTACATCTCATATCATACAATTATTATTTATTAATTAAAAACTATGCAATAAATAAAAAACTGATTAAAGTATGCAATTATCTATAAAATAAAATATCACTTGAAAATGAAAGGTTTATAAATAGTTATATTACTTTTTTTAGGATAATATGTTTGCTTCTCAATTTTTTTTTCGAATTTTCCTCGGAATTTCGTTGTTCTGTGTCCCTCTTAAATGTCCTGAAAATATCTACAAATTTCCAAACTGCGAGCAAAGCTATTCATTTCTTGCAAAATGACCTGTAACAAAAATCGACAATTAAACGCGTAATAATTGTAGGCTTAATTCATTAAAACCTGTCGCCTATCTTCAAATGCAATAGTGTCTGCATGGAGATCGGGCTTCGTTTCCTGAATAAAATGGATAACATCATCTGCACTTTTTTTTCGACGATAGTCTCCTGTTCAGCTTGTGTGATAATCTCTTGGTCCTTAGTTCCTCAGTGTGTCCTAAATGTTGTTCGACAAACTTTACCGTCACAAATCCTAAAAAAATATAGTTAATCTGTAGATAACAATAATATTATAATATTATTTACCCTCAGTTGAAATGTTAACTACAATTCTTGAAGCACATGTCCCATGAATATGAATACTCCCTCCAGTTTTCACACTTCGTTTTTTAGCTGAGCTGACAAATCCTTAAAAAATATGAGACATTATATGCCTACTCACATATTAGTAAACACATAACTTTTGTAATTGCTTCTGTTACATTCATAAAATATTTTTTCTTCACCGTGTTGATATTTTTTTCGTGTACGGCAAGCATAATTTACTTCCCTATTCTCTTGGGTCCTCCAAGCTGAAAACTCTTCAAAATTCCTAAAATGCAAAATAGATTCATTAATAGCTAAGCTATGAAAAGAATTTAAATGCTCAATTAAGTAAATGAATGAAGTAAAAAAAAAAAATTCCTGTCTGTGCATATTGGGCATAAAATATGGTGCATTCTTTCAGATCCAGATCCCTCTTGGCCAGAGTGTTTTGTCCGTATATTTCGGTTTTTGGTCGATGTACTTGAAAATTCCATCTCACAAAATTGGCAAGTCAAGTTATTTCTAAAAAATTAAAAATTATACTATTTCAAGACATCATAACATAACCTACAAATATCAAATTAAAGCATTAAACTTACCTTTCAAGCTCCATTTTAAAATAAAAAAAATAAATATCAATAATTAATCACAAAAAATATAACCGTTTAAAATTGCCGGGCTATACTTCTGATTGGCTCGGTACGTTGGAATATTAACGTATGCTGCTGCGCACTACTAGGGGACGGCCTACGAAGAGTATAAGAGCACAATTTATTATCTACTCCATCAAAGAGACGTACGCTTCTTCGATGGCACCTTCAAGGACAGGAAGCGAAAATGTGTTTGCAAAATCGATCGGAAGATCTGAGGACTTTAGGAATTATACTAACTCAAAGAGGTTTACAAAAAAAATTAAAAAAGAATTACTCTAAATTGTAAGGTACCTAACAGTAACAATTTTTCCCAATCTGAAATCAACATCAACAATAAGAACCGAGTTTAAAGTATTTAATGAAGCTTTATTCATGAGCACGACTTGCAGTTGAAGGTTCTTCCAAATTGACATTGGTTAGAGTCAGATATCAATTTTTTTTTTGCTTGAAACTTATAATCTTGACTTCTTCAGAGATTAACTGAAACTGACTTGCGTCCTACTCTGTGCCCGCTTACATAATGTTTGAGGGGACCGGAGGTAAACTAGAGACATGAGCATTGTCTCGGATTACTGATTTCCATATTGGTGAAAGGTCAAGACCTAAGTCCCAGTTAAGATTGCTTGGTTGTTTAGAGAATTCTATGGATTCTCTATTTTTTTTGTAGAATAATTGATTACACTCAAAAATTTTGGATTTTGGCGAATAAAATTTGATGCCCGGTATCATTATTCTTACGACTTAAGTTTTGCAAATACGTGCTCGTAAGGTAAAGATGATATCTTAAAAGAGTTTCTAAAATCTAATTGTTGTGGTTTTACTTGGAGATGTAAATACAAAAAGAAAAAAACTTGTGAAATATACTGTAGATAATAAATGGGATACCCGGTAATCAACAAAAATGATGAATAATAAAACTCTAAATCACACAAAGCTGAGAGAGGAGGAAAAAATTGTTAAAGCTCTAAATCAACGATTTTTTATTGGAAACTCAAGCTTTCTTCCAACAGTGAAGATTTGATTAGTAGTAGAGATGAAACAAATTATCAGAAAGTAGTTGAATATAAAAATATAATAAAATACATTTGTTACAAATATATACATACATTTAATTGTAACATTTGCAAATACACTTATATCAATAGAACATTACTATCAATTATAACAGAAAAATGTTATTAACTATCCCAACTATCAGAAGGGATTACAAAAATTAAATAAATTATAGCGCGATTTAGAAAATATTTCATTAAAGTAAGACTAACCAAGACTAATGAAAACAACATGATGCCTTAATCGAAACTAGTTACCTCAAATTTTCGCAACAATTTTAGGAAAAAGAAGCCGACCCGTTTGCACACGGACTTTATATTTTGGATGGGAGCTTTCTCTTATTTACTGGCACGCGAGGAGTGGAAGTTAATTCAGAACGACGTCGTGAAGAGAAACCTTAACAGAAAAGCTTCCAGAGTTTGGAAAAGATCGGCATGGGTTTTCCGGCAAATAAAATGACGGAAAACAAGGTTATTTTCGCCGCCGCGACACTATCGATTTTGTTTTAGGAAATTGAATATTTGTGGTTGTCAATGGCGGCGTGAAATTGCCAATATGAAGTGATTTTCGTTATGTGAAGGACTATATATTTTACTTTGCATTTTCTGTTGCGAATCGCGTTTTCCTTCCCGATCCAGTCAACGTCGTGATTTATTGCCACGCAACGTGCCTTTTAGACCACTATTTTATATGGCGCCTTGGTTGCGTGGCAGCTTGTCTCCAGCAATTCAGATATAGTGTTCTGAGGTGAACTTATAGGCTAAAAACCATAAAACGGAGTTTTTTAATTTTTATGGTTCATTTATAGGAGGATTCTTCACTAACCGCTCCGCATTAACAAATGTTATAATATTATTCAAATGGAATTAATATATATAACATAAATACACTAAAAAATAACTTTAAAAAAATAAAACTTGAAAAAAATAACTTTAATTTTATTAAAAATTTCAATATGAAAATCAGTGTTAATGTACGAGAATGGAGAATTGGAAATTGGAAAACTTAAAACCAACAATAATTCTTTTACCTTAAATTCGTAGTAGTAAGTTAATCTGACCTTCTAATTAAAAAATAGCATATATAACGAAAATATTTACAAAATATTTCAAACAAAGATTTTTTATCCTAATAAGAGCACAGTATTTGTGCACATTTGTAATGTGATGTGTCATTTTTTTAAATAGAAGAATAAAGCTGTCCTCCCATAAGTTAGTTATTTTTTGAAAAATTTGATAAGGTCTCTTGTAAAATGGTCTTAACACTTACAAGACTAACGAGTGACAACAGCAAGAGAAGTATAGACAATAATATATCAAATCAAAGGAGGATGTACGAGTTTCGTGGAAAACTCAACGTTTTCTAAGTTAAGATTTTAAAATATATATTTTTAAGCAAAGTAACAAGCGTTATTTTAGTGGATGCGTTTAAATTTTGTCGAAGAAACATATGTGACGGCGAAAACCGAAATATTATTTTCTACTGCTAAAATAACAAAGAAATTCCTAAAATCATGTGAAAATATAAAGCTTCCCAACAAGAAAAATGGAAAAGAAGGAATATTATTTTAGGAATGGCAGTAATATCTAGTATATCGGTTCGTCTTCCATTTTCTCGAATTGTGCCCGTAATCTGCTCAATCTGTCTCTCGGTGAGCGTACATTACCGTAATTTTTAAGAAGAACTTTCCAGAGATTTCCTATTGCATTAGAGAAATTGAGTTTTCCTTTGTACTCGAAAGTATTGTAGTGGATTCATATAATAAAATACGTTGCCCTTTTATGTTCTATTTGAAGTACGCGCAATGTAATTTGAATGCTCTGGCGGTTTGAGGAGCAATATTTTGACCCGAAACCCAAAATCGGAAATCACGGATAAACTTGAAGCTATTAAACCTTTGAGTACAACATAAAATCCATAAGATAATTTTTTCCCTTGGAGATCATATATACTTGGCGATGTCTTGCAAGGCTGACAAATTTATTTTTAATGGTACGTCGTTGCGTTAAGTGTAAAATATCATATATACTAATTCAACGTATTGCTAATATTGAATTAAGATAATAAATGAAAACTCTATAAACTCCATTTTATTTTTAAAAATGGATTCAATTTAATTTTATGAAATAATAATCCTAAAGTCTTTATTTGGCACATAAAAAAAAATGGTTTATTTGAGAAACTTGGAGAATTATTTATGCAAAACCGACAAAATATAGATCTCTAATCAGAAAGGTTTGAGGACAATCTTCTTATGACCTAGTCACGCCCGGCTAAACGCGAAGAGTATTTATTCTGTTTCTCTCTTTCTATATTGCGCAATATGACGTGTTTTCTTTCATTTTAATCTCCACAACTCCAATAATGGTATTGAATTGGCGCACCCGATGCATTAGCATTCACCTCGAATATAAATTCAAAAACCAGAGTCACTCATCATTAACAAAGTAATAAAAGAGAGTATTCAAAGTCGCAACCAATCAATACGGGGCTCATAAGAAGAAATAAAATTAATGAACTTCTAAATACAATAAGTAAGTAATAGTAATTACGAAAGTAATAATAATTTATAATACAATATATATTATAAATTTATAATAATTTAAGGAATTTATTAATTGGTTTTATAAAAAAATAAAATTATAAGCTGAAAAAAAGTTATAGCAACTGCCTCATTCGAAATCATATTTTTGTTATAACTGGTATACTTAAATAAAATAGCGCAGTGTCTCCATTTATCACCACATTTTTCATTTTTAACAACAAAATTCTACTTCATATTTGCTTACTTCAGTTCTTTTATATCTCAATGAAATAGGTTTCAATATAATAAAAATAATAATTATAATAATAATAATGACTTTATTTCAACAATATGATATGACGAAGTTATTACGAAAAAACAATTTCATTTACCTGTCCAAGTTTGGCGAGAGAGCCATTGGCTACTCTACTGAACCAAATAGAGAAAAACATAATTTAACAATACTATGTTAATCCCATAAACATTTTATCTAGAGAAACTACACTAATTATACCTGTGGAAATAAGTTGCAGAAAAACCAAATTATATACATTATAGTAACTTTTAGTTTATAATATTGGATAAGAATTAATTTGTTTTATAGCATTTTGGAGGTCAGTAATATGTAGGTGCTTTTTTGCTTATCAGACTGGGAAATAAGGATAATTTATTACCTTAAACAAAAATGTCGAGAAATGTATCATTCTTCGCTCATTCATTCTGAGCCATTTGATATCATCATATAAATGTTATACATGATCAAATTTCCTCACACCATAGACAAACCTAATACATTCTGCACTATCTGGATACGCTTTTTCCTTTCCTGATGCAAACATAAAATAATTGACAAAATCACAATAATTGAAATCAAAGAGACCCGGGAAATCATACAGACTTCGTTTCAGTTTTTTGCTTAAAATATGTATATAATTATATAAAACTTTCATGGAGGCAAAGGATTTTTTAAATATTTTTTAGGTGTCCTTTGAATCTAAGTTTGCTGTCTAAGATAACTCCCAGATTCTTGGCAAAATTTTTAAAATTTAATTTTGGAAGATAACATTCTTATGATTCCCAAATACCATAACACATGATTTACTTGGATTAAGTTTTAAGTTGTTGTATACAGACATCTGATTTGTTTGAAGGTCATCCATTAATGTGTGCTTCAAATTCATTATAATTGTCTGGGCTGAAGCAACAATAAATTTGTCATCATCCGCAAAAGCTTAAATTTTACAGAATTTTAAACATCTCAAAATATCAGAAGTAAAAATAAGTTAAAGCAGTGGGCTTAAAATTGATCCCTGTGGGACACCGGATAGAATTTCTACCTTCTCCGAATACTTATCATTTGAAAGAATTGATTAAAATTTAAAAGTTAAGTATGATTTGAGAAGATTAGAAGATTCTACATTGAATCCGTAGTATCGTAGTTTAGCCACCAACAGCTCTTGATTAATTGTATTGAATGCCTACGAAAAGTCTAATAGCACTAAAACAGAACTTATTTTTTTATCCTAAAGCTATTGACGTATCAAACCCTTTACGAAAACCACACTGAGTATTGGGAATGATATTATTTTGTCTACAAAAATCGTAAGGTTGCTCATAAAGAATTTTTTCGAATATCGGTTTACCAACATAAATTTTCTGTTGGACTGGAAAATGTATATATATATATATATATATATATATATATATATATATATATATATATATATATATATATATATATATATATATATATATATATATATATATATATATATATATATATATATATATATATATATATATATATATATATATATATATATATATATACATATATATATTTATAATATATAATTATATAAAAAATGGTAATTACATTAATTACTCTTCAGTGTGATCTTTAAGCACGCTTCTCTCAAACAACTCAGCAATTATATAGAGAGTGCCAGTTCCAGACACACTACCCTTCTCAAACTTTTGCCAACACAGAAATATCAAAATATGCTGAACGAACCATTTTTCCGAAATTGGGATTGTTATATACACCATACACAAATTACCTGGATTAGTTTTCCCCGACGATAGCGTGTCTGTCTGGAGGGACCTTTCCGATTGAAGGAATTGAGAAAAACCCCATCGTCAAACGGTTAAGTGAAATTTAAAAGGTCCCCATTTCAGTGTAAGCAGAGCGTTTTGTCGTTGGACAAGAAACCCTAAAACCAAATTTGTTTCATTTCTAACCAACTGAATTAAAAAAAAAATATGAGTATATTTTTAAGAACAATTTTTTTTAACAAATGCTTTTTACATTACAATAAAAAACTTGCAACACAATCTTCTTCGTTTACTATTGCAAGGTAATTTTGGTACACTGGCCGTACTTAGGTAAGCCCAACTGCAGACCCAAGGGTAATTTCTGTATTTTTCACATCCTCAATTGACAAACAAAAGTTGTTTTAGAATTCCATGTAAAATCTCAAGTATATAAAAACTATCTTCCTCAATAGCCATTATTTATATTTCTATGGTCACCTTTTGAGGAGGCAACATCTGGAACAGGTAGGCAGTCATCCCAGCCTCGGTTGAATTCCAATCTTACATTTTTAATATTTTCAACACTTTGGAAACTTTTTTTTTACAAAAAAAAAAAAACGTTATCCATTGAAAATCCACGACATGAGAACATAAAATCACTAACACTTATTTTTTTAAACATTTAATGTAAGTACCGTGCCTGTCAAAAATTGCAGTAATCGTACTGTTCAGATTAAGCAGTAAACTATTAACTAAAAACCATAGCATAGCGTACAAAATGTCTAAAGTATCTAGTGAATATATTAAGAGCAACAGTAAACTCGATAATGTCGATTAATTCTAGGACTCATGGGTACGCAAGATAAAGAAATACAAATCCATTTTTGTTCATAAAAATAACTCGTACTCAAGAAAGGAAAGGGATCTTGCACTCAAGTCGAAAGCCGAGAGAAAGATGTGTATGCTCAATAAGATTTCGGTTTCAAAGGGGAGACATACGCTGGATATATACAAGCGACCGGGGTCAAGTATTCGAAAACAAAACCTACCGCGCTCTCTAATGTATTATCCGACGGTGCTTTTAACTGACAAAAATCAAAAAAAGGAAACTGGATCCGCTCCATTCAGTGGCGCACAATAGCACGAATCGAAAAAGTCATACGAAACGAAAAACGCCCGAATACGAGCGAGGGTTTCTTGTCCAACGACAAAACGCTCTGCTTACACTGAAATGGGGACCTTTTAAATTTCACTTAACCGTTTGACGATGGGGTTTTTCTCAATTCCTTCAATCGGAAAGGTCCCTCCAGACAGACACGCTATCGTCGGGGAAAACTAATCCAGGTAATTTGTGTATGGTGTATATAACAATCCCAATTTCGGAAAAATGGTTCGTTCAGCATATTTTGATATTTCTGTGTTGGCAAAAGTTTGAGAAGGGTAGTGTGTCTGGAACTGGCACTCTCTATATAATTGCTGAGTTGTTTGAGAGAAGCGTGCTTAAAGATCACACTGAAGAGTAATTAATGTAATTACCATTTTTTATATAATTATATATTATAAATATATATATATATATATATATATATATATATATATATATATATATATATATATATATATATATATATATATATATATATATATATATATATATATATATATATATATATATATATATATATATATATATATATACATATATATATTTATAATATATAATTATATAAAAAATGGTAATTACATTAATTACTCTTCAGTGTGATCTTTAAGCACGCTTCTCTCAAACAACTCAGCAATTATATAGAGAGTGCCAGTTCCAGACACACTACCCTTCTCAAACTTTTGCCAACACAGAAATATCAAAATATGCTGAACGAACCATTTTTCCGAAATTGGGATTGTTATATACACCATACACAAATTACCTGGATTAGTTTTCCCCGACGATAGCGTGTCTGTCTGGAGGGACCTTTCCGATTGAAGGAATTGAGAAAAACCCCATCGTCAAACGGTTAAGTGAAATTTAAAAGGTCCCCATTTCAGTGTAAGCAGAGCGTTTTGTCGTTGGACAAGAAACCCTCGCTCGTATTCGGGCGTTTTTCGTTTCGTATGACTTTTTCGATTCGTGCTATTGTGCGCCACTGAATGGAGCGGATCCAGTTTCCTTTTTTTGATTTTTGTCAGTTAAAAGCACCGTCGGATAATACATTAGAGAGCGCGGTAGGTTTTGTTTTCGAATACTTGACCCCGGTCGCTTGTATATATCCAGCGTATGTCTCCCCTTTGAAACCGAAATCTTATTGAGCATACACATCTTTCTCTCGGCTTTCGACTTGAGTGCAAGATCCCTTTCCTTTCTTGAGTACGAGTTATTTTTATGAACAAAAATGGATTTGTATTTCTTTATCTTGCGTACCCATGAGTCCTAGAATTAATCGACATTATCGAGTTTACTGTTGCTCTTAATATATTCACTAGATACTTTAGACATTTTGTACGCTATGCTATGGTTTTTAGTTAATAGTTTACTGCTTAATCTGAACAGTACGATTACTGCAATTTTTGACAGGCACGGTACTTACATTAAATGTTTAAAAAAATAAGTGTTAGTGATTTTATGTTCTCATGTCGTGGATTTTCAATGGATAACGTTTTTTTTTTTTTGTAAAAAAAAAGTTTCCAAAGTGTTGAAAATATTAAAAATGTAAGATTGGAATTCAACCGAGGCTGGGATGACTGCCTACCTGTTCCAGATGTTGCCTCCTCAAAAGGTGACCATAGAAATATAAATAATGGCTATTGAGGAAGATAGTTTTTATATACTTGAGATTTTACATGGAATTCTAAAACAACTTTTGTTTGTCAATTGAGGATGTGAAAAATACAGAAATTACCCTTGGGTCTGCAGTTGGGCTTACCTAAGTACGGCCAGTGTACCAAAATTACCTTGCAATAGTAAACGAAGAAGATTGTGTTGCAAGTTTTTTATTGTAATGTAAAAAGCATTTGTTAAAAAAAATTGTTCTTAAAAATATACTCATATTTTTTTTTTAATTCAGTTGGTTAGAAATGAAACAAATTTGGTTTTACATTTTATACTAAGAAATTTAAAAACTAGTTGATTTACTATCTAAACCAACAGTTATCGATAATCGATAGTTTGAATACTAACCAGTTAGTTTTAAGACCATCAACTGAACATTGCTATTTTGTAAAAATTTGGCTGATCCGTATAAAATTAGCAGTAACATATATACATTTATCGATCCTTTGCAACTCTTTTCATTACTCCCAGTTTCTTCTAATTTGCTTTGGCAGCGCCTCTCCAATTTTTGCCAGCTTGTTCCACGTATCTTCTACTATTTGGCTTTTCTGAAAGTATGTTGATAAAAGTTCTTTATTATATAAGATGCACCTTATAATCGCCTCAGAGGAAGAATGAGTTCAAATTCTCATAAAGTTGTTAATGTTAACTAAATTTTGTGGAATATATAATATTTTACTATGTTTTAAATGCATTCATGACAAATAAATAAATGTTATAAAATAACATTACCTTAGAAAAAAAATGTTCACTTAAACGTATTTTATTCAACACTTAAATTCATATTTTTAAGAAATAACGTTACAGTCTTAATTAGAAAAAAACCATAACTCGCAACCAAAAGTAACAAATAACTAATAAAAAAAAGATGATTTATAATCGACATTCATTCCAAATCTTGTGCATTAGCTGTTATGAGGGCTCCTATTTAACGACATGAAGAATTGATGGTGTTAACTAGATCTTTTTTTATTATTTGGTATTCATTTTTTTTTTCGTTCTAATATTAATATGAATTTTATATTTTTGTAACACTCAGATATATACGATTACTAATTCTAATTTTAATCGTTATAATACATATCTCATTTTTAGACGGAAATTTTTGAAATAACCCATAATCTCGTTATTCTAAGGTGACATTATGCCTAATCTCTTCACCTCTTCCAAATAAAATTTAATTTTCATGATTCTTATACTCCGTAGCGTAGATGAAACATTCACCGTACACTTTATCCCCTATTATAATTTTAAAAGTGACAGTTCATATCCATGATTCTTCCTCAGATTCAGCTGCTTTTCACCGAAACTCAAAGAAGGAAGATGAGCAAAAAATAAGGAAGAAAACTCAAACAAAACCGCTATGGATATAAACCAAACTAAACCAAAATTATTGCTTGCTTGAATATCGAGGAAATAATATTACTTATATACTTATATACTTAGATTACTTGTCACCAGGAAATAAATGACAATGCTAAGCAATTTAGCAGGAATAACATCATCAGGTCGATAAAAACATTAGCATTTTTAACATCCAAGTAGTCTGTGGAGTCATGTGTTAGCGACTTGTGCTATTAAAATCTTGGCCAGAAAGATTAACGAATGAATCGATATTAAATGAGATAAAAGTCGCACTCATGGACGGGACGGGATTTTAAAAGGAGAAGGCGAACAATTAGAAAAACTTAAAGATGGCCGACGACCAAGAGGCAGATATCTACTTCTACCCAAGTAGCTAAACACAACGCCAGGTCAACAAATGTAGATAGTTATGCTGAAAGCTTTCCAGTTATGAATAGATGACTAAGTTGCGTGTTGTGTATTAATCGGCCACATGTAACAACAGCATTAGCTGTGATAAAAATGACATCAAATCACTAAACTTTGATTATGACGCTCCATCATCTTTCAGAACTATAAGCCTCCCAAATCGAAAGAAAAAACCAATAGCGTTCATCGCGGACATCGGATCAAGAAGGGCAGACAAAAGCTGTCACCAAAGTTGACGTCAGCTTGTTATAAAACGCCGACGAATAATCCCTCGGCCTGTTTTTATTGTGTATGAATTCTTAAAGACCTTTTATAGAGAGAAGACTGCTAGCCGACCGCAAAAACCGCTTGGGATTCTCCCACAAAAAAGAAAATCGAAACGGTTTAGGGGAGGCGCTGAAATGCGTTCCCGGAGGCTTAGCCTGGCATTTTTTTTGTTTTATTATTCGAATAATTTATCATTTTAAAGGGTCCGCGGAAGTAATTATCTTCTCGCGCGGCAACAAAACAAGGGCAATCAAAGTCAAGCCGCGACACGGATTTAATTATCTAAAGCTCCCCATACACTGCAATTT